ATGAGAAGAGAAGACTCCCTGGAAAAGACCCTGATGTTGGGAAAGTGTGAAGGCAAGAGGAGAAGGGGACGACAGAGGATGAGTTTGCTGGACAGGGTCATTGAAGCAACCAATATGAATTTGACCCAACTCCAGGAGGCAGTGGAAGACAGGAGGGCCTGGCGTGCTCTGGTCCATGGGGTCACAAAGAGTCGGACACGACTAAACGACTAAATAACCACACATTTTTTAAAAACCTAGAAATACTGCATATATTTTCACAATGTTTTTACCAGATCCGGGCACCAGAAGGAGCCAGAGACCATGCTATGTATTTTCCTTCTTTCCCTGGTGGCCACTTCTGGTAATACATGTGAAAATATTTCTGGATTATTTGTCCCCTTTTATCCCGCTATGTCTTATCTGCGTTTTTCAGCATCGGCGGGGGAGGCTTGGAACCTCTCCCCTTGGGGTCCTCCCATACTTGCATTATTTTCATACTTCAAACTCCAGGCACATACAGGTGTGGGTTACTCACCGGGAGAGGTAGCGCCCCGACGACTCGGCCCCAAAGACGTGCTTGTCGTTGCAGTTCACCATGTTCTGGATGAGCGCCAAGTCGGGCCGGAAACGGACGGCCTGAGCGATGGCCCGGGAGACCAGTTCCGTGGCGTCCTGGACCAGCTGTTCCACCGTGGGCCGGTCCACCTCCCCGAAAGCCAACAGCCCGAGGGGCAAGCCTTCCGTCTGCAGCTCGGCCACGTTTTGGGGTTCGCCCAGCAACCAGTGGAACTCCTGGGTCACCCCCAGATCCTTGGCGGTCCGGAAAACCAACCGAGAGAGCCGAGGGCTGCAGCCAAACAGGACAGCCGGCCCGGGAAGCTCCCGGTATTCCTCCAAATGGCGGCGAAGGTAACGAGGCACCTCCGCCCGATCCAGGGAGCTCAGGTCCACCACCGCCGTCTTCTCCACCACGCCGTGGCTGGTCCACAGGTCCACGAAGCCAGAGGCGTCCCAGGCCTGGCAGAGGACCAGGGTGGCGTCGTGCCAGCTGTGGGCGCGGAAGAGGCTGGCCAGGAGGTCCAGCAGGGTCTCGAAGCGGCCACGCCGGTCCACGTAAAGGTGGAAAGGGTTCTGCCAGGCCCGCCCAAGGCACGGAAGGAGAGGGGGGAAAAAAGAAGGGATTGAAAAACAGAATGAACACCAGGCAGAGATTTCGCTCCCCAACGTCAGGCAGACTTGTCTTTTCTCGAAATTCGAACGCAGAAGAGCCCCCGAGAACAATTATTTGGAATGGAATACAGCTTCGTAAAGCTGTTATTTAGAACAAGCCAAAACCACCACAATCTTCTAGTGGTTTAGGATGGTAACGAAAGGAATATGAATCCGACCTCACATCTCCTTACAGAAATCTAAGATGATGACCTGGGTGTTCATTCATTCATTCATTCATTCATTCATTCATTCATGCATTCATTCATTCATTCATTCATTCATTCATTCATTCATTCATTCATTGTTTGTTTTCTTTGTTTTATTGGCCATCTTTCTCCCAATAAGGGGACCCAATATATATAACAACCTTGCAGAGCAGGCCAGGTTGACCGAGAAGAACGGGGGAGTGAGCCCAACCAGGGCTGAGCGAAGACTAACTTGGATCATTTGGGAAATATTGTGTTTGGGCACATTGGTGTATAGGCTTCGGGTCGTTCCAAGGCTGTTCCCGGCCTTTTAATCTGAAATGCCAGCTCCTGATGCCAAAAAATGCTTCAGGAACTTGCTTGATGATGATTCAGAGGGTCCCTTCCAGCTCTGCTGATGATGTGAAAGGTCCAAATTAGGATTCATTAATTAAGTTGGCTGGACAGCTAAAAGGTTGAGGTTCTCTGGCCTGCAGTGGGGAGTTTGAATCCCCCACGGGGCCTCCTTGACCGGGGCTGGATTGGATGATCTTTAGGGGTCCCTTCCGGCTGTGCTGTTCTAAGAGGCTCGGGAATTGGGGCCCAGACTGGAAACAGAAACCAGCAGAGGTTGCTAAAGTTCTGTGCTGAAATTTAAAACATTCTCCCCAGAAAAAAAAAATTAAAAAACCCCAAGGGGAAAAGATTAGAAAACAAGCAAAAGGTTGGTTTGTAGTGGGAGAGGCACAGTGACTGTTCAATTGCACCTCTTCTTCAAGACAAGGGGAAACTTCAAGAAAAAGTGCACGGCTCCAGAATGTTATCTCTCTGGACTACAAGTCCCAGCAGCTTCCAACTGGATCAGATGGGAGTTGTAATCTCACCAAGGAAAATGCTCAAGTTATGCTCCCGTGGGATTCTGGTTCTGATGAAGCCTCCTTTTAAAAAATCGAACCGAGCAAGGTCGATCCGACGCCAAGAGCTGCAGACGAGCGAGCGATGTGAAATATTGACAAGCTACATTCTGGGTTTTGAGGATCGATGGATTTCTATTCCGTTGCCGGAGTGGATGAAAAATTAAACAAAATAATCCGGGACATTGCTGGAGGTGGAATGGAAAGAGGAGGTGGTTTGGTGACGCCCTCTTTTCTTTGGCCTCAGGCGTCAGAGAACCAGGGGTCAGTGCCAGAGGTCAAGCCCACATTCTCCTCCAAACAGCCCTGCGAGGCAGGTCAGATAGAGACGGAGAGAGGGAGAGACACGGGATTCGCGATCCCGCAGGGCGTCTCCCGCCCAAAGGGGAATTCGAACTCGGCTCTCTTAAACAACTGCTCTAACCACTATATCACAGGGCTCTCTGAAATGCCTGCTTTCTGGAAGAAAGTTCCTAAGACGCAACTCTGAACTTTCTGGAAGGGGATCTGAAAGATTGGTCCGGCTGCCACCTTTTTTATATCCGCTTGTCCGGAGAGGTTGAAAAAGAAATAAAACACAATGAATTCCTGCGCTCTCCCTCTCGGCTCTGCCATCATTTATGGCTTCCGACAGGAGGCAGAAAAAGAAAAGATAAAAGTGCCCAGACAGCACTTTCAAAGTTCGCCAAAACTGCTTGGACGGCCCGTTTGATTTTGCTTGGTTTTGTCCCCACACGGTGTAATCTATCAAGCAGAACAATTAAATCACACGGACGTGAAGTCCGGCAGCTACACAACCAACCGAAAAACACACCACAACAACGCACAGATAGGGAAGACAATACTTATCCTTTTTAGTTTGTCCTTGAGGGGGCGGGAAGTGCTTTTTCTTTAAAAATAAAATAAGGCTGAATCATTTGCAAGATTATAAATCTGAGATAGACCATCATAGAACGTGGAGGTTCTATTTTAGGGTCCCGGCCGGCCATCCCCTGTTTTGGGGCCGCGACCTTCCTTTAATTTCGGCCGGTCTTGAAGGAGCTAGAGGTTCGAAGCCATGATTTGGTTGTTATTATTTCTTTTTAAAGTTCATGTTGTGTTTCGTTTTCCGTGCTTAAAACCCGAAAATCAGCCCAGGGTTCCGGAGCATCAAAACATAAATGGTATGTTTTAAGTTTTCCAAGATTCTTTTGTACGACGTCTTCGGTGGCCTTCTTGAGAAGCAGAGAGTTTCAAATGTGATGGGAACCACCTAACACAGCCACCCCCTTTCTGTTTTCTGAGTTTTATTTCGGGGGGGGGTGTCGTGTGTCTGATGAACACTGACTGCATATCCCTGTTTCAAGGATTTTGGAGACCAATTAACCCTTGATCTCTAAATTTAAAGCAGAGGGGCAGGGAATAGTTCACACATCGGATATTTATCCAAACAGGCTGGTAGAGAATTTTTTTAAAAAATCAGGTGTTGGACAAACCAGTTCAAAGAGTTTGCACTTTCAGAGCGCCTCTTTTGCAGAGCCAATGGCTCTGAATTGCCCGCCTGATATCCAACCCCATCCACAGAGCAACCAGCCCCCGTTCACCATAATATGGCCATTGTGAGGCCTCCCTCTGAGCTCAGAGAGAAAAGGGAATCTTGAAAGAAGGGTGGCGGGTTTGCAGAGTTTTGAATCCGGGGTTAAATTCCTTGGTGCTACACAGCTGAAGTGCAGAGGCTCACCGAGGAGAATAGCTCCCGGTTCCCCAGAGAGTCCACCCCTTTCTCATTCACTGGCGTGCACAAGTCTCAGTTACTCACTCCGAGACATTCATAGGAGAAAGAATGGGGGGGGAATGTTACTTACGGTTGCGAACAGATCAACAGCGAAGTAAACAAGTCACGCGACTTCCAACAGCCACAAGAGGCCACAGTCCCTCCCAGTTAAAAAGTCAAACTACTTCAGCCCCACGTACCCTTGATCCACTACAACCCTGGTCTAAAACTGAGCCCTGAGAAGGATTCCAGCCACCCCTTCCAGAAATGCTTTCCGAGCCTTGGCTACTTTTACTGGCCTTGCTGCATTGGTGCCTGCCCACCTCTCGGTCCCTCTTATGCTCCAACCAATAGGTGATTGGTGGACAAACCTGTTGGCAATTTTACAACTTTGCATGCTACCTCTGGCCTGAGTGACTGGGAGGAACCTTTTCTGGGCTGGGTGGGCTGTCAATCTACGCAGCCCTAACCAATGGCTCCTTCCAGCCTTTGAAATGAAAGAAAACCCCGCCTCCCTGCTGAGTGTTCTTTTCCCCTTCTCTTTTTTTCCTGTTGGAAGCTGTCCACAAACCTGTTGGCAATTTTACAACTTTGCATGCTACCTCTGGCCTGAGTGACTGGGAGGAACCTTTTCTGGGCTGGGTGGGCTGTCAATCTACGCAGCCCTAACCAATGGCTCCTTCCAGCCTTTGAAATGAAAGAAAACCCCACCTCCCTGCTGAGTGTTCTTTTCCCTTTCTCTTTTTTTCCTGTTGGAAGCTGTCTGTTGGTGGTGGTTTGCTGTTGATTTGTTCACAACTGTGAGTAATGGAAAAAAAAAATTCTTTCTCCTACCAGCGTCTTGGAGTGAGACTATATGTGTCATCGAATGATAAAGGGGTGGCCTATCTGGGGAACGTGTTGTTATTCTTCTTTGTGAGGCTCTTACCTCTGCGCCACTAAGGGAATTTTAACCAGAAATTCAAAACTCTGCAACAAAAATAAAGGATTGTATCCCTTTCTTATCCAGATCATTGGCCATGAATGATCATCCTACTCTTCCCAGCCTAAAGCCGGTTTTTAAGTCCTACCATAAATATATCACTGACAACTTTTTCAAGTTACCTTTTGACAGCCAGGGAAGGAAATGAATTACTAATAAAAAGTGTTGGGTTTTTTATGAGTAAAGACGAACTGGGAGGGAAGGGGTCACCCATAAACATTTGCTGCTCCCTCCTCCTCGCTTTAAAATGTCCCGACTGGGCTCGTAAATAATGTACTTTTTCTTTAAAGGGCAAAGATAATGCCGGGCTGCAGATGCAGCCAGAGGCACCCAGGGGGAAGGATCTGATTTTATTTGTGCATCCCTTGTAAAGGGGTATTTCTTGAACCCAGAGCCGATGCTCAAAACGGAGCGTCCGAGAATGCTAGTGCAGTCTCGGGGCTCAAGAACCCAAGGTTCTAGTCCTCATTGCTCCATCAAACTCATCTTGAACTGGCATTGACGGCTTTCCAGCTTTCTCCGGCAGGGAAGGATATTTCCGAACTTTTAAAAAAATCCTTTAAAACAGAGCGGAGTTTAAATAAAGAGGTAGATTGGAACTGAGAGCCACCTGGAGTTATTTCCCTACAGAGCCTCCGATCCTTTCCAGCTTCCCCATGGGATGAACCTCTCTGAACATAAGAAAAGTGCCCCCTTTCCCCAACCCTGAACCGTAACCCCTTCCTGGACACGGTGCTCCAGAGGCACAGGACAGGGTGTGCTGTTTGGGTGGGTGGGGGGAACGACAAGTGAGCCAGCTGAAAAGGCCATTTTCCAAACCGCTTTTAAACTTTCTAAACGGATTTCAGACGGCAGGTTTTTCCTTGAGGGGATTTGGGGTTTGGTTTTTGTGTTTTTTTTAACCAGCACCTGTGAGTGGAATACAGACGGGCTGGGCTGCTTGGTGAAAGAAAGAAAGAAAGAAAGAAGGATGGATGGATGGATGGATGGATAGATAGATAGATAGATAGATTAGATAGATAGATAGATTAGATAGATAGATAGATTAGATAGATAGATAGATTAGATAGATAGATAGATTAGATAGATAGATAGATTAGATAGATAGATAGATTAGATAGATAGATAGATTAGATAGATAGATAGATTAGATAGATAGATAGATTAGATAGATAGATAGATTAGATAGATAGATAGATTAGATAGATAGATAGATTAGATAGATAGATAGATTAGATAGGCAGGCAGGCAGGCAGGCACAGATTCAATATGACCTTGGTAAGATTTGCATTTTCTGTGAAAAACTCAATATTAGGAAGGAAAGAAAGAAGGACGGACGGTCGCTCGGTCGCTTGGTTTCAGGAGAAAGCCTGTTTATGTCTGTCTATTTCCTCCGGGAAGCCAAATCTTTTCTAGCAGTATTTGATTTTCTACATTAAAAGCTCATGGGGGGGAGTTGAACAGCATTCGGAGGTATCTCCAAATCTCCTGCTCTGACTCTCCGAGATGCTCACGGTGGTTCAAGGGTATCCACAGCTGCCCACACACGGCCCACCTTCTCCGGCTCACGAGAGGAGGGAAACTCTGTCCCAACTGAGGAACAAGAAACAAAAGAAAGAAAGTCCGTTCTTTCCCTTCCATCCGCCGGCGGCTACGAAACCGGCACCGGCCAGAAGCAGGCGACAAACCGCCCGCCGGACAGAACCGAGGCGACAGTTTGCCGGGGGAAAATGGGCCTGGGAGTCTTTTCGGCGCTCCGGGGGACGAAAATCCAGGCTTTCCTCTTTTATTCAATGCGAAAAATGCTGATTCGTAATGGAGTTTATCTTTGGATTTAAACATATTTTCTTTCCTCACTTGCCAATTCTCCTTACATGGACAGGAAGGGCTGCTAAGGATCTAAAATCATCAAGCCTTTTTCCTGGCCTGGCTTCTGGGGTTGGTTTGATGGTGGTTTGGGAGGATGGTACGGTGTAGTAGTTAGAGTCGTAGGAAAGGCTGGCTTCAAACTGCTCCCAGGCCCTAAATCAAGGTCAGGAAGCTGGTTAGTTAGTACTGCTCAGGCAAAGCTACCTTACAGGGGTGTTATGCGGAGGATCGGAGAGAACATTGCCCTGATCAATTCGGAAGGTGGTGGCAGGATTAAAATATGAGGAAGAGACATCGTTGCTCCGGTCCATCTTGGGCATCTCCAGGGAAGGTGAGGGAGCGGGTTCGGCCTGAAACCCGGGACGGATGGGGTTTGCCAGCCAGTGTTACTGACAAGATGGAAGCAAACACAGCGAGGAGGTGAGCCATTACAAAATGTTTTCTTTTCTCAGTGGCTTGGCCACCGGATCCTGGCATGGAGGCCGGTCCCCCGTGGCACCCGGCCACCCGACTGCAGCACCGTGGCAGGGGAGGCCCGGAGAAAAGGGAGGCCTCTGTGTCATCTGCCTAGGTCTTCCTCTCTTTTTCTTTTCATAAACGTAGTGTTTTAATCAAGAGCTTTTCAAAGGCCTTAATTCTGATTGCGTTTTCAATTAGACGATTCTGTTTCAACATCTTGTCACTTATTACATTTTAACCCTGCGGTTTCTTTTCAGACTATATGGTAAGCCATCTCGGGCCCCCGCAGAGAGAGAAAGGCGGCGTACAAAACCGCCAGCTGCGACCTGCCAGCGTGGGGAGCTTCTCTACCCAGGAGAAATCTACCGTCAAAGTCTGGCTAAGGCAGAGAGGCGAAAGCCCACGTTTAGAGCAGAGCCCGAGGTGTGGGTGGGAATTTTTTTGGGGGGGGGGACACCTTCGTTCTGGGATCCCTGCGCTCAGGGGGGGCGCAACCGAGACCCGTTGAGTTGACAAAAGACCTCCCCCGCCGGGAGAGAAAAATGACTGTCGCTGGTTAATTGGCACGGGTCCAAGCAGAGGCTGCGGTTTTTGGAGTTTCTGCTGTTCGGGGAAGGAGTCGGCTAGGTAAAGGGAGCGTCGTGATGATGAACGCCAGCTCCTGTCACTGATCAAACCCAGGTTTTTGATTCCCAACAGAATATTTTAAAAGCAAGGATTTTTCTGTGCGTGGAGATCCTATGAGGGCCATAAAGGACCACCCCACTGTAGATCTTCCTGCAAATATAGCTATCAATGGGTATTCCCAATATTCCCACCTAGAAAGCCACCTGCAGTGAGGTGTAGTGGTTAGAGCATCAGACTTTGGGAACCTCACTGGGTAGAATATTAAACTAGAAGACCGAGGAAGAAGGCTCTATTATTGATTCATAAACACTTCCTGAGCACACCGGGGGAACCAGCCTGGCGTGCTCGTCCAGACCCACCTCACAGGGTCGTCGTGCTCGCCCTCCATAATGGGCTTCCCTTCCTGTTTGGCTCTCGCCCAAACCCAAGACTGTTTCCTGGGGACCCATCCATTAATTAAAAGCATCTTTTCAACAGATGCTGCTTTCAATCCCAGCACCTTTCCTGAAGGCGGCCTGTCTGTGGGTGGAAATTAACGGGCAGCGCACGCATTAATGAGGATTTATAGAAGTCGTAATTGCATCCGCCACGAGAGCGAGGCTTGAAGGGAAGGGTTGGGAAGCGGGCGGGGGGGAGAGGTGTTTGCCAAGATTCCTGAAATGAACCACGAGCGTTCGCCGGGAAGCAAAACAGAGGACTTCAAATATGCAAACAGCAGGAAATATTATAAACAAACAAGGAATATTCAGTGAATATTCAGTGCACAAGAACAGATGCAACCCAGACTCTTTGGGGACCTTCCAGACTCAAAGTTTTCTCCCGAATCTTTTCATAAACATGTTTTTTTTTGGGGGGGGTGGTCTTTCCGGCATTGAATTTGGGAAATGAAACAGAATGCACCTCGGAAGCTCAAAGGGGCTTCAGAGATCAAAGAAGAAAAGGGATCTGAATACATCATCATCAACACCACCCATGCTTCTACAGTAATTAACAGTGCCAGAAAGATGGGTTGCTTTCAGATGGTTCGGCATTTCTGTGGGGTTTGGACCAGCAAGGTTTTGTAACGCAGTGTCAACACACATAGGAGGAGGATGACGGTGGTGGTAGTGCCTGTTTAGCCCCTCACCAGCCTTTTCTCCTTTGCCCAGTTCGGCCAGCTAGACTGCTCCTCTACGGGGAAGCTCCTCAGCCCCACGGCACCCACTCTGCATTACAGGGAGGTTGCCTTGACACCCCTTCTCAACAAACACCCCAAGGAGAGAAGAAAAAAAAAACACACACACACACAGCTAGGAACAAAAACACAGCTATGTCGGCCTGAGCTTTGGATTTTTCTCACACAAGCAAACACACACCCGTCCCACTTGTTCCAGCAGGTCCCTGCCCTGGTGTTTCTGGAAGGACCTGCCAAGCAGGTGGACCGCTCCTGGCTGGGGAGGCTCCACCAGGGGCGCAGGGTAGGGGCTTACCCGGATCCTGAAGGGCATGGGGGTGTCCTCGCTCTCCTCCTTCTCTTCTTCCTCCTCCTCCTCTTCCTCGGGCTCCCGCTCGATGCTGAGGAAAGGGATCTCCAGAAAAGAGGCAGCGAAGTCGAGCTGAAGGAGTTCCCGCCGGGAAGCCGGGAAAGCCAAGACGGCGGCCACCCCGCGCACCACCAGCGCCTGGCAGAGCCAGCGGGCCAAGGAGGACGGGTCCCGATCCCCGGGGGCGCCCGGCAGGACCTCCAGGCTGAGGTTATAAGG